CACAGTTCCAGGCCGTCCCCCGGGACGTGGAGAACGTTTGTGTCGTGCTGTGCGGAGGCAACGTAGACCTGAGCTCCCTGCCCTGGCTCTCAGACCTCCCTGGGAAAGGGGAATGAGAACGGAGCGGTGTCAAGCAACAGAAACCTCACTCAATTTGTACAGTCGGGTTTGCGCACTACTAAAAACAAACGGACAACCCCAAACGTTTGAAAGTCTTTGTGGAGGGACAAGGGAAGCTGGCGCTGCTCTTTACAGCAGTCGCTTGGCTCCACAGCAAAGGGTCACTACTGGGGGGGTCTAGAAGCGAAGTGCTGCCTGTTCTCCCTTCCCCAGCCCAAATTTGGGACAGGCATCCAGTCAGCAGCACACAGTCACTCCCCCCAGCTGCTACTTCACACAATTATTTTACCATAAAATTACTAAGGTTAGAAAAGGCCTCTAAGATCATCAAGTCCAACTGTCAAACCTTTCACCTTTCTTCCTCAGCAACAGTAACTTCCAGCAAACTCCCGTCCTCAAAACAGCAAAATCTCCCCCGCCACTGCTGTGGCAGAGCAGAAGGGAAAGACAACAGCAGCCACAGGGTTCCCAAGAGCCGAGGGGGACACAGCTTCCCCCTTTGGCCTCCACTAAGACACAGGCACTGGGATGTTTTTTGAAAACATTTTCCATTCAAATAAATAGCTGTAGCTGGTACCTGAGCAGCAGCTGGTGAGACAGCCGCCCCTGTACAGACCCCAGCAGTAACACGTCCAAGACATCAGTGCTGTCTTGAGGCTGAGAGCAGCGTCCGAGGAGCTGAGGCACAACATCAACCACACTGCAGACTTATTCCATTTCCACCTCCTGTGTTGGCAGCGCGCTCTCGTTCCTCACCCACGGCACAGGCTCCGGGACGTGGGGGTCGTAAGTCCACTTAGGATAAACGCGCTTGTACAGGTTGAGCAGCACTGTGTCCTGGGACTTCAGCTGTCCATCGAAGTGGCACTTCATGTGACCGTGGGTCCCTAAACAAAGGGATGAAAAGGCTGATAGCTGTTTCTCCTTGCCCAGGAGGACCCCATCCTGCCCAGAGATGAACACAGAACCAAACCTACCTAATGGCTCCTTGATGTGTCCCCTACGACCCCACTTTGTCCTCAGTTCCACTGGCTTAAACCACATCACATCCTCTGGAGATCAAAACACGAAAAGGGGGTGAGAAACAGGCACCAACACAGCTGCTGCCACAGCAGCAGCTCTGCTTGCCCTCTTCCCACCACACGGAGACGAGCCGTACCTCTGTTAAAGAACATGTACCGCACGACGGCCGTCTTGGTGAGGATCTTGAAAGGGTGGCCGCTGAGCACCAGCCGCTTGATGACGATTCTGTCCGGGTCCACAGAAAGCAGAGAACCCGTGGCGATGAGGCCCGGCATTCCCGCAAGGCAGAGTCACTGTCGCACTGGGGCAGCACCACAGAAGGTGCCTCCATCAACTTCTCCCCCACCACGACCCCCTTTCCCCATAGTGTTGCAGGCCCGGAGCAACCCCACAGCAGGGACAGACAAAGATGGCAGCGATAAGGGGGATGGAAATGCGTTAAATCTTCTCAAACAGCATGAAGGGGACACCTTTTTCAAGTCATATGCACTTGTAAGCTGGCTGTGGGAACAGCCTGATGATGTTTGATTCCTAGACACCACCTCCCCAGCACTTAACGACTTACCATTACTTCTCTGTTTAAAAAGCAGCACCAGGGCAGGAGGGAAAGTGATGGGAGCGTAAACAGTCACCACCAGGGCAGCATCCGGGCGCAGGAAACGCTCCAGCTTGTGCTTGTCAGCTAGGACAGAACAGCAGTGATTGAGTCCTCAGAGCTGTGGGAAACCCCACTGAGCCCGTTCTTCCCTGGCAAACAGGCTCTGTGCTTTGGGAAATCGGGTATCAAACACCTTTCTGCTGGCACAGAGGATCTGGGAAGGAAGGTGATGCTCTGAGCTACCAGCTGACTGCATGGAGCCTACCACTGCCTTGGCTGGACCAGTAAATCCACCTTGCCCAAGCCCTTCCACTCCTCACTATTTAGTGCCTCCCCTCACAGCCTAAAAGTGAGTCTTAGAAGAGTCCTTCAGGTTCAGACACCATGGCTAAGACATCACAGGCTTCCTGCCCTAGAAACCCCAGCACCACCTCCTGGCACAGCCATGCCCACCCCACTCCTGTCCCTCACAAACCTGAGGTGTGCTGGGAGAACAGGGGGGATGTGCGGAAGCGCCTGAACCCGCAGTGGAAGATCAGCTCCTCCTTCGCCCTCACTGGCTCGCTGTTGCTCGGATGCCGACGCACCAGGAAATTCAACACTGACATCTGCAAGAGAGGCAGCACTGTGAGGGTGGTGAGCAGGGCTGGCGAGTGATGGTAGAGCAGAAAGCAACGGGAAAGTTGGGAGAGGAGTGGCTGGAAAGCTGCCTGGA